TATATATATACGCACATTTTGTGTCGTCCCGCTGCGCATATTCAGTTTGTACAACATTCACTATTCAAATTCAAACTCCTTTTGGAACTACAGAAACTAAACACTGTGGTAATCTCAATGACTATTCAAATTGAAACACTCTAAAAACTTGCTGGATCTAAACAGTGTTGACGTCAAGAGGAAAAATGATTCAACGTGTCGTGGGTCCGGAAACGACAGTCCATGAATATTTCAAACCCAGAGAATTACATTAGCGAGAACAAGCTTGATTCAGGAGAATGAGCTCTGAATACGTTTTGGACCCAGACGTCTGATTTGGGGTTTTAATCAGTCCCTCTCGTTAAACATTGGGGCTCATTACCAATTTGTCAAATATCGATACCAGTACGACACCGCGGATAGGTGTCAAGGAGATTTTTTTCTGGAGATCGGCATTTCACACAACCGCGGGCAAACCTGGATACCTCGTCCCACCCTGAGCAACTCGAGTTATGCTGCTGAATAAGAGTTCTATTATCTAAAACGTTATCCTACCCAAAACTAATTATTAATACTTGATGAGTTCGTTAATGGCGTCACGCAATCCAGATGCTCATACCGTAAGTTATTTCCTTACGCTTAACATGTCAAGTACTATCCAGAGGCGCCTACCATAACTTATTTCCTTACTCTTAACGGTTATGGCTTTTAGTGGGAGCTGGAAGTCTCACACTGATATTAATTTTAATATGGCACGGTCCCTGAAACTCAGAGGCATGGTGGGCGGAAAACACGCCACTTTCGATCTATGACGTCACTAGCTACGTGAGTTTGCCACTTCCCTGGAACTGGTAAACTTTGTAACTTTTCAGTACTCTCTTGGTATCAACAGCATGTGGCCATCTTTGCTTTCCTCTGTTGAAGAAAACTGAAAAGTTGTTCGGTTTCTGGAATAACTTTCGTATTTGAAGCTGAACTTTAATCGTTATCAAGCATAACAGATTCAACCATTTTACAAAACATGTATCTATGGACAAATCTAGGCAAGGGAATCTGAACTCTCAAAAACTCATTGTTCATTGTCAATGTATGGTTATCGTTCCTACTTTCAAGACTGTAAGGTTATTTAAGGGCTGGAACTCCGAATTCAACATCTGTCTCCGATAAGACCGAGCCATATGGGTGGAGAATCTTAAGAACTCCCCAATACTTTTCGAGTTCAAAACACCCCAGTTGCAGACTCCAGACAGTGCCTTCCACTATATTGTTATAGTCCAGCAAGATACCAACGGAGCAAATGATGTACCCTATAAACTCATTCAAGCGTTTGTTTAACAATGAGAGAGCAATTAAAGTTGGAGAATCAAAGATGAATGGTTGGTATTGCAAAGGTATGCAACATACATTTACAGGAATAAAAAACAATCAGAATAGATTTCATAAGCTGGACTTCATTTTAAAAAAGTGTTCTTTTTTACGACTCCATCGACTCAAGTCGGATCAAAAAGGAGATTAGGCCATTCCTAAAGGAAGGATTTCAGCAAGTTCTTATGCACATAGAATTGTAAATGGGCTGATATTCAATGTCATGCTCATAACTGTGCCTGAACTGCAATAGGGAACTGCTGCCTTTTCTTTCCCAATCCTAACTATAGTCATTCTTCTTCTACTTCTTGTGTATGTTTGTCACTCTATTGTAAACTGTTATTTCCGTGGTGCCTTGATAATCGAAGCAGACTTCGTGCTGTTGAGGCTAGAGAGGTGAGCAGAGTAAGCCTGATTCCCCGTTCGGACTTCTTTGTAGACGTCCACCCCTTGGCACTCATATAACCTTATACAGTTGCGAGCGCCGTGAAACCTTACTAAAACTAAAAATTAAGGGATAAACACCGTAGCCTCCCCCCTCACGGCTACACCAGCAAACACGGGTAAGCTAAACTCATCCTTTAGGGAAGCTTGATACCAATTAGCAGTGAGCCAGGTTTCGCTCACACTAGGAAAACAGAAGTGGGGTGGCTTTGTTTGTTTTTGTCTTTGCTTTTTATTATTACTTCAAAAAAATAGTTTTCTTTTTTTTGGAAAGGGTTGGGGGAGGGGGGAGGGGGGCGAAGAAGACTGCTATGTGTTTCCCCGCTCAAGCTCTTTTCACCGAAAGGCTCTGAAACACGTGGAAAAGCGGTAGAGCGGGGAAGGGGGGGGGGGATAGCTCAAAAGGCATGTGTTCGCTTGTCATTGGAAAGATCCAGAGCTCAATCTCCACCAGCGTTAGGCTTTTCTTCGTGGTTTCTACACATTCTGATCCACGGGTAGGTTGGCTCGGACAAATACTCTTCTTGGATAAGGTCAGAATTTTTGGAGGCTTCGTGTGGAAGTTTCGCAAAAGCCCTTTGCAATTCTAAAATAGCAAAAAGTAGGCCCTTCAGGCTGCTAGCCATACACATAGAAGTGAATTCCGACTCACAAACTGAAACCCTTCGGGTCAGTATAAGCATTATGAGTACTTTAGAAATCGGCTCAATACTGTCTGTCAGATAAGGGATAATTTTACTTTCTTCGAAGATAAAACACCTGGGCATCTATCTTCTGTCCCAGAATCGATGACCGCGGGAAAACGATTAACAACACCTGTAATTTTACGCGGATCTGCACCAAATTTGAGAGGGATTGTATTTGCTCATCCGCTGGCCATAATCTAGACTCAAATTCGAACTGGTCAGACGAGCACCACCCCATCAGCCATGTCTTGGAGTAACCCAGAAAAGACTTTTTGTGTTACAAAGTACGTTGAATCCAAGTCCGACGAGAAGCTTCAAGTCTGTTAATACGGGTAATCTGACATTTTTTCCTTTTTCATCTCAGCATAATAACGTCTTCACGACGGCAGCTCAGTTGCAACCAAGCTAGCAATGATCAAATGTGCGCTGTAGCGTGTAAGTTTTCAGACATAAAATGTTTACTCTGATTGTTACAAAAAGATTTATGAATAATGTATCTCTTTATTTATAGTCATTATTCAAAGAAAAACGGAACGGACTCGTGCAAAATGCCCTTTTTTTGCCCTGCAACCGGAGGAAGGCACAAGAGCGTTGCGACCTTTTTTTTGTGTGCCTTTGATCAACATTTTACAATAAAATCAACACAGAAATGTGTTTTTACATGTTCATAAAAGGTTCTGAGGCAAAGCCCCCCCCCCCATAAAAGCAGAAGAAAAACTGATAACACTTGCCAAAGAAAGGGAAAAAAGCCGGTTTCTTTGATCGCTTTATTTTGACGAACGTCTGATTTCAACCACGTTAATTACATTTAAAAGCATGAAAACGAAATCATGCGGAACCCATGAAGTTAGGTGGACTAGAAGTGTTCGTTTAATGTCTTATAATTGAAGTACATGATGTATTGTCGAGAGAGATCTATACACGGGTCGTTCAAAAAGTTTTGCCTCCAAGTTCATAATTTTTTTTATTACTGATGCTACATACAAAAGTTATACACCAAATGAAAGCTTAGGATGTTTGCTACATAACTGCACCTTTACTTTTCAACATAGTCGCCTTCATTGTCGATGCAGATCCGCCAACGTCGAATAAGTTGTCGCATGCCGTCGGCGAAAAATTCATGTTGTTTTCCTCTGAACCAGCGACGGAAATCTTCTTGAACTTCATCGTCATCTGCTTAACGTTTTTCTTTGAGGTACTCCTTCAACTTAGGAAAAAGATAAAAGTCAGATGGAGCAAGGTCTGGACTGTATGATGGGTGCGGAAATGTCTCTTGAAATCTGAGACTTTTCATGGCTTCTTGAGTTTGTCGACTCCTGTGTGGAAGGGCATTGTCGTGGTGCAAAATTGCATTTTTTCCCGGGCCGAACTCGCGGCAGCCGTGCTGTAAGTTTTCTCAGGGTCTCAATATATCGTTCAGAGTTGATAGTGGAGCCCTGTTCCGAAAATTCCGTATGAATCAGACTATCGCAGTCCCAAACCACTGTCATAAGCACTTTCTTAGCAGATGAAACAACTTTGAACTTCTTGGGGCTAGGTGAGCCAGTGTGCCTGTATTCTTTCGATTGTCTTTTGTTCTCTGGGTCATAATGGTGCACCCAAGTCTCGTCTCCTGTAACTATATACGGCGTAAGAAAGCTTCACCTTCATCGGTATAACGAGCACGCAGTTCATCACTAACTAGACTTCGGTTAAATTTCAGCTCGGGTGACAACATGTGGAGAACCCGCCATGCACACACTTTCCTGTAACCCAACACATCAGGGATAATACACAGAGCACTCCCTAGCATTTCACTGACATCTCTTACTTTGATCCGCCGTTTGCTTGAATGATCTCATCCACTCTCTCCTGGTGTTGAACATCACTGGCAGAGTTGGGACGACCATATCGAGCTTGGACATGGAAATCTGTCTCTGCTGGACTGGTTTCAGCGAACTCCTTTACCCATTTTCAAACAGTACTTACATCTACACATGCTCCACCATAGACAAGCTTCATTCGCCTTTGAATTTCAATGGAAGCAGCTCCTTCTGCAGTAAGGAACTCAATAACAGCTCTTTGCTTTAAGCGCACATTCATAGATTTGCTGGACGCAATTATCTCGGCGACAATGTACCCTTCATTGATGTAAACAGCAATAGCATAAAGGTGTGACATCATAGTATAATTCTGTTTTTGGGTCTGAGAGTATACATATTGAAAGTCAATTGTGTACAAATTTCATGAAGATATCTTGAATAGTTTAGAAGTTATTGAAGAGGAGGCAAAACTTTTTGAACGACCCTCTTAGTTAGGGATACTTTTCAAATAAGTTTCAATGGCTAAGCGACGGTGAATTTGGCTAAAATGATTTTTCAAATAAAGGTGTTTGGACACATGCATATTAGGTTATGATTTCACAAAAGATAAGATAACGATTTTGAAAAATATTATGAATGTTTAAGATAAACCGGCTCATTATCTGGGTGTTGTATTTTTAAACTAAATGTGGTCAATATATTATTATTGCACACAAATAAAATTAGCATATGCGTAAGTGAAAAAATTATCAAACGAAGATGAAAAACGTAGGCTATTCCTCCACAAAAAAGAAAAGAAATTGAGAGCTTCCACAGATTACAGAATACAAACTGAAAATATATTAGTTATAGAAAAATACTTCTCACCTTTTGAAATTCTGTTTCGGAATGGAAAATGCCAGTCAACTAGAAGAAAAAAAACAGGCTTGAAAAGTGTCCAACTTCAATACAAAAAAAAAATGTAATTGAGAAAACACGTTTCTATTAATAAGCTCACAAAGCAGTGTATTTCTTTTATTTGATAAAAAAAAGAAAGGAAAAGAAAACAAGATTAGCAGGGCACAATTAGAATGTCAGTAAAAAAAGTAGAAATATCCTTCTCGTGTGATTGTCGACAGTTCGGTCTCCTAAATATCCTCCTCGTGTGACTGTCGACAGTTCGGTCTCCTAAATAATATCCTTCTCGTGTGATTGTCGACAGTTCGGTCTCCTAAACACTAACAGGACAGAACTTTGCCCTCCGGGTACTCGTTGCTTTCCAGTTGATTTTTTCTTTAATCTCCAAAGTTGAATGAAACGTTATACAAATGAGACGGCAGGACGCTTGGGCCACACCACAGGGTTCTCACAGACATAAACGCTAAGTGCTACGTGGTCGAGTTTGCTTGCTTTCTTCACCAAGAAGCCGGTGTAAAATGATGGGTCGCACTGGATAATACGCTGGGAAACACAAAACGACGAAGAAAGGGTGCGGTGGGGAAAAGGGATTACGCGTAGTAAAGGGGTACGACAAACTGTCGAGAGAAAGAGGGGTGGTTTGGGGGGTGGGGGTGGGAGGGGGGAAGTGCAGGTATGGGAATTGACATGCATCTCTCTCTCTCTCTCTCTCTCTCTCTCTCTCTCTCTCTCTCTCTCTCTCTCTCTCCCTCTCTCTCTCTCTCTTTCTCTCTCTTTATCTCCCTCCCTCCTCCCCCCTCTCTCTCTGAATTTTCCCATCTCCCTCCCTCTTTATCTCAAACCATCTCTACCCCTTTGTTTCTCCACGTAAAAGGTGTTTAGCCAAAGACAAAATGAGAAGAAAAAAAATTTGACCATCGACAATAAAAACAGGCCGATTTTTTTTTCATTTTATTGTTTTAATGAGTGCTTGATTTCACCACGATGCCTCACAACACCCCCAACCCCAACACACACACAAACACACACACACATACACACACACACACACACACACACACATCTATTTGTGTGTATGTATGTATGTGTGTGTGCGCGTGTCTCTGTGTGTATGTGTGAGAGAGAGAGAGAGAGAGAGAGAGAGAGAGAGAGAGAGAGAGAGAGAGAGAGAGAGAGAGAGAGAGAGAGAGAGAGAAAATGCCTTTGTGTGTGCACGTGTATAACTTTCTTACAGAATAAATATCACACATGCACAGGGGCGGCTGGTGGTTTGTAGACCCCCCCCCCCCTTTCATGGCTTCTGCGCATGCGTTACTCGTAAGCGCTTTCGGTGAAATGTCATATCCAGGTCAGAGGTCAGAGAACAATGATGGTTGATGTCAACAATGCTAAAGCCTTGTACGCCTAATAGACATGCGACTACACAGTGGGCGTAAACAGGGCTACGATTGGTTGAAGCTTTGACCCATGGATACATGGTACATATTACAAAATTGGGATTGTTTCGCTTGCTATCCTACTGTGGGAGAGAGAGAGAGAGAAAGAAAGAGAGAGAGAGAGAGAGAGAGAGAGAGAGAGAGAGAGAGAGAGAGAGAGATGTCTGTGCGCCATGATATACGTCAGCAAAGGAGTCTGCAGAGGTGTCTGTGATACTACTGTTGTGAAAGCGAAGAAGCGAAGGTAAACACACGGCTGTAGAAGTGAAAACGAAACTAAACGTGTGGTTTGGCATTTCACCGGAAACGCGGACGAGTAACGTATGCGCGAAAGCCATGTTGACGTTCGGTCTGTGAGGGCATGTTAACCAATGACGCTGTTCCCATGCAGATGAAGTCTAGAATCAGGTACAGTACACTGTACTAACCACTTACACATTGAACAAATTCAGCACACAGCAATTTCCGATGTATTGTTTCAGGCTTAGACTCTGACAGGCGAACGGAGCGCCCCCCTTTCCTCGTTAAAATTCCCTCTGCTAGATAGAACTAAATATATTTCAACTGGGCGGAACACATGATCGATGACCCAGGGTCTTTGCCAAGTAAGGTAACTCCGGGAAATGGGCGCGAAGAGAAAACAAAATAGAACTATGGATGGCTTAACATTCTTTTAATGTTTTTTTGTAAAATTTGGTAAGTGTTTTACAGTGCTTGCAACTGCATAAGGTCATATGAGTGTGCGGGACACACCTAAACATATTCAGTTGGAAGGACATTTGAATTTTGCCCGTGTGGCGGCCGAAGCCTACTCTTATCGATTTTGGGACCACCAAGAGATCTTTAACCTGCGCCGCTTGAACACGAGACCTCCGAGATTTTTTGCCCTTGTCCGAGACGGCTAGGTGTAGATCTGTCCTGTCATAAGATCAGGGTTGTAGCTGAAAGACAGCCGAACATTTTCCGTCTCTATCCGGAATCGAACCCTTGACCTATTGAATGAGAGGCGAACGCCTTAACCTCCAAACCACGAGAGCCCCTGCTTAAAATTCAATAGAAATAATTATGCTAACAACAGATGTACTAACAGTAATAAGAAACAGATTGAATAATGAATGTAACTGATGAAATTATGTAAAATAATATGTATATTAACTGTACTGCAGACGTGTCCTTCCTTTGTAAGTAACATAGATCTAGGCCAATTGGCATTTAGAAGCTGTCTTTCAAGTCTTCAAGGCAAAAGCTGAATTCGCCAGGTTGGCTGACGTCACCCCCAGGCGAGCGGTGTTTCGAAAGGCTTCGTGTAGATAAGTTTCACATCGTGAAAGGGGCGATACGTACGAGCTGGCGTGATAAACAAAGATGAAGGAACGAGTTTCTGTAGTGCGACAACACACAAAAGAACCATTATTGTCTCTCAGAATGTCTTCAAATCGGCCGAGTGCTTTTTGAATGTTGATTAGAAACTAATATGCATTTACTTGAAACAAAATAAAACTTATCATCAGCAATCAATATCTTGTCCACTGTACAGCCAACAGTGAAAGAACCGCTGCTGTACATGTACTTTTACATACTCAAAGAGGTACTAGCAATTGCGTGGAGTTAGTAATCCTTTCCGACTTTAAGGTAGTTTTACTTGACACCCCCCCCCCCTCTTGTTAGCTTGCTTTGAAAGAGGCTTTGACTCTGATGTTAGCGTCTATCTCCGAGCAAAGTGTGTTGAGAGCCTCGAAAGTTCCCCACAACAACCCAATTGTTTAACACAAAGACAAAGTGTTTTAAAATATTTTTGATACTTGGGCAGGGGCAACGGCTGAGCTGGCCTATTTGAAAGGGTAATCAAAGGGAGATAAAGAGCCAGATTGAAATAAAGCCCCACCCAAATACTTTCCCATCACTGAGTCATGAATGAAAACAACTCCTGAGTTTATATAGCATGTTCACCCGCCACCTCCCCCCGCCCAACCCAACCCCTCCACCAAAAACAAACAAACAAAAACAAAACGAAAACAAAACGAAAACAAAACAAAACAAGCAAACAAACAAACAAACAACAAGAAAACATCTCATCAAATAATATTCTATTCCTACTTTGGGCTAAACGGAGTGATAACATTTAAACACACCTAAGGAATGATGGTGTAAAGATTGTTCAACAATGAATTTAACAAAAGATCTGAATGCTCAAACACGTCAAAGAAGCAGAGAAGACAATGCTACAAATGATGAATTAGTATTCAATTTTGAATTTGGCTTTTGGCTTGCTTTTCGTGGCGAGGAAATAATGTCCTGACCTGATCATAGAGCGGCAAAAAGTCGAGGGAAATAAAAAGCACTCACAGCAGACACGTGATTATGAGGAGTTAACCCCCCTTCCCCTTTTGAGGTAGACTCTTCCAATTCAATTGTTAGCTAACACAATCAGTGCTTGTGACTGCATATTATAGTGTGCCGAAAGGGGTGAACAAGGTATAAATTATGTTGCATGGAAACAGTCTGAGTGTTGTGTTAAAGGCTCAAGTGTAAACGTGATCTATATAAATGTATTTGGTCTTCGTCTTTGGATGTATTTTACGGCGACGATGTTCCCAAATTACGAAAGGGAAGCAGTGATTATTTGAATATATGTAGCTCATATAATTTAAACGAGCCGGCGTGATAAACAAAGATGAAGGAATAAATACTATGTTAATTTTTGTGCTGATATAATGGCCCTTATAAAACAAGTTACCATCCTCCCTAACTCTAAACCGTGGATAAATTCTTGAACCAAAGACCTAGTCCATAAAAAGAAAAGGGCTTTAAAAAACCATGACAAAACAGAACTTTAAGTCTTAGACAAAGCTATTAAGACACAAATATAAAAAAAAGTGGAAGGTCCGTTTCGATCAAATACGCACTTGAGACATTGTCTGGGCTTGAGACCATAGTGGGCAACAAAAATAAACAAACAAACGTGCGTGCTGACAACGGAGAGAGCTACGCAAATAAACTTAATGCCCTTTTCTCTCGATTTGACAAAGGCAGTTCGTGTGACCTGCCTTGTGTAAACACCGACTAAAATGAAAGTAATGTTATTGTTGTTGTTGTTGATGATGTTGCTGAAGAACGTGAGGTTAGATGTGTATTTGGACGTGTGATGCAAACCAAAATTCTAAAAATGGATTCAGCACAACTTAGATCTATTTATACCTATTATCAACCAGTCGTTGGTGACACATGTAATTCCCACTATTTTGTAGGTGTTCAGAAATCGTTTCTCTTCTAAAGAAAGAAAAAAAATAACAGAAGTGAATGACAAGAGACCAATAACCTTAACATCCGCAGTTATAAAATGTCTGGAAAAAATTGTGCTAAAAAGACTACTAACATACATTGAAGCCACCGAGGACCCTCTACAATTCGCCTATCGTCATGGGAGAAGCTTGGAAGACGCCATTCTACTATTTCTTGACAACATATAGATACTTAGACACACCAAAACCATACCGTAGGATCCTGTTTGTTGATTTTTCGTCAGCCTTCAATACTATACAGCCAGCTATCCTTTAAAGAAATTAGAAAACATTTTTGTTAATATCAAGTTATTATCATAGATCTAGATAAGGAATTTTCTGACCAACCGAACCCAGCATGTAAAATTAATACATTTCTCATCGACACTCATCACAACAAATACAAGTGCCCCTCAAGGATATGTTTTGTTTCCAGTTTTATTCACACTTTACTCGAACGATTGCCAAATAAACAACAGTAACATCAAGTTGATCAAGTTTGCGGACGATTCAACCATAATTGGGCTCATTCTGGCTGACCATAACGAAATTGCTTACCGGAATTTTGTTCGAAACTTTTCTGAGTTGTGTGAAAATCATAAGCTGCTTTTAAATGTAAAAAAACCCCCCACCAAAGAACTTGTTGTTGACTTCAGAATAAAGAAATTGCCCCTGCAGCCACTCGAAATTAAAAATGAAAACGTCAGATTATAAGTGTTTAGGTGTTACAATAGACAACAAACTCGACTGGCATGTCCACACTTCTCTCCTGCATACAAAAGTGAACAAAAGACTATTTTTTCTACAGAATCTCAGGTATTTTAAAGTTAATAAATCGTTGATGTCCATATTCCATCATTCAAC